GGGAGCTGCGCGGGAGGCCGGCCCGGGCCCGGCGGGTGCGCGCGCGGCGTGTCGTCGGTCCCGGCGCGCGAGTGACTCACGACTTCACCCGGGCGCCGCGGGGGAAACAGGAAACTCCTCGCCAACAGCTGGGCAGGACCTCTCGCCGCCCCGGAGCCTTCTCCCTGGGCTCGGCTCCCAGCCCTCGCCCTCCCTCGCAGCTGCCAATCACGTCCCCGGGACCGGCCCCCCTCCGAGGACGGCGCTGGCAAACTTTCAGCGGCCCCTCGCCGCCCTCGCGAGTTCCTGACTATTTCCTGAGCGGAGGACGAAGCGCACGCGTTTGAGAAAGTCACCGAACCCCTGAACGTAGAAAGTGCCCGCGCTTCCCCCCGCACCCAAAGCAGCACCCTCCCTCCCCCCCTCCCTCCCGCGTATTCTTAGCGCCTCAGAGCAGTGTTGGCAAACGCCAAGTGGCGAGCCAGGCGTGGAGATGCTAAAACCTGAGTTGTGGGCGCGTTTTTTTCAAATAAAACGGTAAGTATTGCCCGCTTAAATCTTGGTTTCGGTTGTCCACACACACACACACACACACACACCACCCCGTCCCGCGGTGAAATGTTTTTCTTACTGGAGGTGGAAATCCGGAAGTTTGTTCTCAGACTTGAATGTGCCTGTGGACCACCTGAAAGTCTTGCTAAAACGCGGATTCTGATTCAGAACCCAAGAAGCAGCATTTCTGAAGAGCTCGGGTGGAGCCCCAAAGCCCTTTCTTCCTGCGGGTGACTCAGTGAGCAGTTGTAAAGGATTAAGGCATCCCACGAGGATGATGGCGGGAAGTGTTACCTTCAGAGTGTATCAGGTACCACCGAAAGTGTGAAGGAGCCCCCTTTGCTCTTTCCTATGCGTCTTGGTCGGATAATGACTTAATGTGCGCACCCTACTTCCAGCCCCCAAAGACTTAGATTTCGTACAGCCCCGTGGTCAAGACATCTTCCAGCAGGTTACACAGTAAACTCCTTTATCTGAGAGAAAGCTTGTTTGCAGAGGCAGGTGGCCAGGCTTACTGGGAATAATGGCAAATAGCTCTCCCTGGAAACCCAACCCCTGCAGCCCTCCCAGTCCATCTAAGAGCTCTTCTGCTTGATCCTAGAACCTTAAGTCTTGTGATCATTGTCCCAACCCAGCGCTGACGCTTCCTCTGAATGGGTCCTTTAGGAAAAGACCACTTCCTAGTTCTTGAATTTAGGAGGCAGGAAGTGCGGTGAAATCACCAGGGCTGGGCATCTTCCTTCCCACCGACAGCCTTGCCAAAAGCCACTTGAGCGATGGAGGAAAGTTGAGTTCAGAATCTCTTTCTCGCCCTTTCCGCTACGGCCACTGCCTGTGCCATGGCCATGCCTCCTGCAGGATGTCTCCCAACCACTCATCCCCAGTCAGGACCCGTTTCCTAGGCCTTTCCAATCAATTTCGCAGATCAGAGCTAAAGTCAGCTTTTCAAATGCAACCCTGATTATACCAGCCCTTCTGCTAAAAATCATGTGATGGCTTCCTGCTGCTCTTGAGAAAGAAGACAGAGACCAGATCCTTTAACTGCCATCAGGCCCCCTCCTCTCTTGCAGCCTTCCCCTTGGGCTTCTCTTCTGCTGAGAGCCTGTCCAGATTTCTAGAAGGTACCCCTGGGTGCCTCCTGCACAGAGTCGTCCCCCAGGTAACTTCGCTGCCTCTGGCCTTCCTTGTCTCTTCACCCAGTGCACTCCTGGTCCTCCTTGGGTGAATCTGACTTCCTTGATGGGCAAGCTTTCTCTGAATAGACATTTTATTATAGCTTCTCTTGGCACCATGTGCCTCTCCTTTATATACTTTCTACCGCTGTAGTTTTATAACAATCTGCGTCATTCTTCCCTTTCCCTTCTCCCAGCTGAAGTCCAAATTTCTTGAGGACAGAGATCTTTTCCTCTACTCACTTTTGTACCCCCAGGACCTAGCACATAGTAGGTGTTTACTAGATACTGGTTGGATGAATGAACGAAGGAGATAATCAAGATTTGGAAGAAAATTGTAGTTAATCATTCTCATTATTTAATAACTCAGGAAAAGGCATTCTATTACCTAATAAATGGAGATATACACAGACTAGATTTTAGCTGAGTATGATATCACTATGACTACCTTTTCTTCAAAGTGGAGAAGTATGTGGTTTGGTTTGTTTTTCCTTTTTTTCTAAATACACCCAAGTTCCTCTGGGCAGTATACATACACTTTTTTACTCCCTAGAACACACCGAGGCAAATAAATGCCCAGTTGATACCAAAGGCTTCTTTTCTATATTTACTGCAAAGACAGATGTGTTACATTGTTAGAGGCCAGGTGTGAGGTATTTGATTCCATGGTGGAATATTTAACTGAGGGACTCTGTCATCAGACAGGACTAATGTTGATTTTAATTTCGTTTGCTTTTAACATTTCTGATTTAATCCTCAATCTCCCGTGAAATTGAGAGTCTGAATTCAGCACTGCCAAGTGCAAACTCGGCTTTTAGAAAGCATCACAAAGAAATCAGAGACACGAAAACTCAT